CAATGTATCAGCATGGACAACAGAAAAGTGGCTACTTCTAGCTCACTCTGCAGTTCCAAGAACCAGAACTGAACACCTAAGCAAAAGAAACTCACTTCTACTTGCAAGGTTTTATGGTTCTATGACTTCAGCTTTGAGATCAAGAATGAAATAGCAAAAGTTGAACTTTAAAAAAATAGGTGAAACAATAAACGTAAAAAAAAGGTAATTCAGCCATTTTAAAAAGTAAAAACATGGGCTTTTTTCCTAGGTTTGAAAACAAATCACTAGCAGATACAAAATTAAATTTAAAAGAGTAATTATATTTCAAATGTGTAATAAATATTCTTCTACTTACATTACTTATGTTAATTTAATGCAGTGCTTTTTAAACAAAGGTATTTTCATCTATTGGGTTTCATTCTGATTACCAAAGCATTTTAAGAAAACAGAATTAAATGACTCCCCCAAGTGGAGATCAACTTACACAGAACCTCTATTATTAACAGGCTTGGCAAGTCATTCAAGCCTCAATATGCTTACTAATTATAAAGTTGAACTCTAAGATGACAACTCTAACTTTATAACTATAAAGAGGAGTGAAAGGCTAAAATTAACAGAAAAGTTTATGATAAAAATGTATAAGTAAAAATAAAAGTAATAAAATGTCCATAAGGTACAGGGTTTGAAATTTTTTAACTAATATTTTATGTATTAAATACTTTAACAATTTTAACATATGTTATCAATTTAAGATATAAGCATATTTTAAGAGTTTTTTTTAACTCTTTTAATAATGAGATCACTTACTTAATAAGGACTAAATGTTTAAACATCAACAATTTGATGTACAGGTATACACTAAAATCTTTCTGGTAATACTAGAGAATGAAGAGGTTTGATTTATTGTGAAACATTTATAAAAGAAAAATGAAAGTTGAGACAATTTATCATGTATTAGTGAATGAGTTCCTTCTTCTACCTCCAGTATCAAACTAATCATTTTTCTAAAAAAGTCAAGTTAGAACTGTTGAATGCTCTGTAAATGTTCTGCTCTGTAAATCTGTACACAAAGCACAATTAAAAAAAAAAAAAGCTGTAATTAACCAAGCAATTAGTAATACAGTTAAGCATAAATATATTAAACTTAAAAAGAAAAGTTTCAAGCTTTTAATATTATAATAGTGTTCTTGCCTCAGACTGAACTCATAAATGAATATACTCAATGTGAGTATATTATTATTATATACTTAGTATCTCCCTTCTTTCTAAATTGCTAAGGAGATGCAAGTATAAATACAGTTCTGTATCATACAACGTTAATGGGTCTTTCCATTTTGTCATATAAAATACATCTGAGAAGAATGACAAACTCACTTGCCAGATACAGTAAATTCACAGGTAGGAATCATGTTTAAGGTTATCTAGTGGAAAGCAATTTGCTTAACCGAGAGTCTATGATTTCATTAGCTTTAACTGAAGGTAGGTCTCCAATGTAAAATAAAATAATAATGTACAATAGGTGAACTATTGATGGATTTTTAAAATATTTTCATTCCCTGGAAAGCTCATATAGATTTTAAAAAGTAACTTAAGCATTTATACTATTATTTTAAGACTCCCTGGGTGAGCAAATGATCAAGCACTTGGCTACCAGCCAAAAGGCTGGCAGTTACCTACCCAGTGAGACACTCTGAAAGATAGGTCTGGTGATCTGCTTCTAAAAGATGACACAACCTTGAAAACTCTAAGTAGAACTGCTCTTCACACATGGGGTCACCAAGAGCCACACTCAACTCAATGGCAACTAACAACAACAACATACGATTGTAATATTCTACAGCTAAACATGACTTACTGTATTAAAAACTAAGTTATTTCTTGATATGATTGATTTTTGCACACATCGTATTGGATATCAGACCTGAAATTAAGAGACCTGGATTTTGGCACCAGTTCTGCCATTAACTCTTTAAACTTCAGTTTCCTCATGTGTAAAATAAGAGATTGTTGTTAGGTGCCATCAAGTTGATTCTGACTCATAATGACCCTATATATAGCAGAACGAAACACTGCCCGGTCTTGTACCATGCTCATAATCTTTGCTATGCTTGCACCCATCATGGCAACCACTGTGTCAATCCATCTTTTTCCTTTTCCGTTTCCTTTTCCGCTGATGCTCTACTTTACCAAGCATGACGTCCTTCTCCAGGGACTAACCCCCAAACGTGACTGAAGTGTAAGAGACATCTGACTATTCTTGCTTCTAAGGAGCATTATGGCTTTACTTCCTCCAAGACAGATTTGTTCATTCTTCTAGCAGTCCATGGTATACTCAATATTCTTCACCAATACCACAATTCAAATGCATCAGTTCTTCTTTGGTCTTCCTTATTTATTGTCCACCTCTCACATGTGTATGAAACTACTTAAAATATCATGGCTTGGGTCATGCATACCTTAGCTTTCAAAGTGAGATCTTTACTCTTCAACACTAAAGAGGCCTTTTGCAGCATTTATGCCCAATGTAATATGTTGCTCGATTTCCTGACTGCTGCTTTCATGGACATTGATTATGGATCCAAATAAAATGAAATCCCTGACAACTTCAATCTTTTCTCCATTTATCATGATGTTGCTTACTGGTATAGTTATGAAGATACTTGTTTTCTTTTTGTTGGGTTGTAATCCATACTGAAGGCTGACCCTCATCAGTAAGTGCTTCAAGTCCTCTCCACTTTCAGCAAGCAAGGCTGTATCATCTACATACTGCAGGTTGTTAATGAGTCTTCATCCAATCCTAATGCCAAGTTCATCACATCACATAGTCCAGCTTTTCAGATTATTTGCTCAGTATACAACCTGAGTAACTATGGTGAAAGGATAAAGCCCTGATTTCAAACTATGCATTATCCCCTTGTTCTGTTCAAATGACAGCCTCTTGGTCTATGAGAGATTAAATTTAAATATTTATAAGTCTTTAAAAATTCAGTTTCTGATTTTATTTCTAAGAAACTTCACTTTCCATACTTGTGATATCTAAGTGTCAGGAAGTAAAATTATGTAGCTTAATACAGTTCTCCACTTTCCTTTATATATCTCAAACTAAAGCTTATTTTTATAGGATATTATCCAATAGCAACAGACATTTGTATTATATTTTTAAATTTGCAAAATGTTAGTAACAACTCTGTATGTTATTGCTGTTGCTGTTAGGTGCCCCTGAGTTGGTTTCACCTCATAGCAACCCTGTATATATACAACAGAATAATGTCCAGTCTTGTACCATCCTCACAATTACTGCTATGCTTGAGCCTACTTTGCAGCCACTGGGTCAATCTATCTCATTGAGGGTCTTCCTCTTTTTTGCTGAACCTCTACCTTACCAAGCATGATATACTTCTCCAGGGAATGGTCCTTTCTGACAACATGACCAAACTAGGGGAGACAGAGTCTGGCCATTCTTGCTTCTAAGGAGCATTCCAACCGCATTTCTTCCAAGACAGATTTGTTCATTCTTCTGGCAGTTCATGCTATTTTCTCCACCAACAGCATATTCCACGGCATCAATTCTTCTGCTGTCTTCCTTAGTCACTGTTCAGTTCTCACATGCATATGAAGCTATTAAAAATGCCATGGCCTGGGTCAGGCACATCTTACTCTTCAAAGTGACATCTCTGTATTTTAACACTTTAAAAGCAGTTTGGTGCAGAAGATTTGTCCGCTGCAATACATTGTTTGATTTCCTGACTGCTGCTTCCATGGACACTCATTGTGGGTCCAAAGAAAATGTAATGCTTGAGAACTTCATTTTTCCTCCATTTATCATGCTACTGTCTATCAGTCAATTCTGTATAGAAGGTATCATCCCAATTTTACAAAATAGAAAAGTGAGGCTCAAAGAATATGCCCAAGTCTTTTGGTCTTTAAAAATATTTTTTTAATCCATACTTTACTAAATCTATAATCTACTAATAGTTCATTAAACATTTTTTTTTTATAGTTAGATGATTTTGAAATTGTTGTGGAATTATAATCCAATTGCAGAAAGGAAAAATATGTAGTCTTTTTTCACCAAAAATTACTACTGGTCATCAACAACACTGGAATTTAAGCCCTGATCTTACTTCAAACAGCCTATACTATATATCAAAACATACAGTAAACATGAGGTCACCATGATTTAAAATCAAATCAAAGGCAACGACCATCCCACCACCAAGTATATAAGCCACACTATGATTTTCAACAGTGAAATTTAAAACATATGCCAGATTTTAAACTAACGATTTGTACAAAAAGAGACTATAGCAATAAATAACAAAAGTAAAGTTACTAAGTTTTTTGTTTTTGTTTTTGTTTTTAAATCAAGTCAAGAGGTTTGTCAGACTTACTGGACTCCAAAAGAAGTATAAAATTTAAGCACCGGGTTTCTTCTTTTCTCTGCTGGAACGCTTAATATTGTATTTTTTAAATATGACATAGCGATTACTACACCTAAAATCTTGATTTAGGCTTATCTTTTTAAACCAAATCTTTCAAAATAAAAATACTTAGCTTATACAATGAGGGCACTAACTGACTTGTGCTCTAGTCTATTTTAAGAACTACCCCTGCAAAAAACAAGCAAACAAACAAAAATCATTGCTGATGAGCCGGATCTGACTCATACAACCCCTCCTTGGGTTTCTGAGGCAGTATCACTATGGGAGTAGGTTGCCCAATCTTCTTTCCGAGGAGTGGCTGGTGGATTTGAACTGCCAGCCTTCTGGTTATCAGTCAAATGCCTTAGGCACTATGTCACCAGAGCTCCCCCATAGCTAATAAAATTATTAAAATAATTTTAACTCAAAGTTTGAGGAATCGACTTAATAGGATGGTTGTATTAACTTAGTATTTTAACTATTATAAAACTATAACAGTATAACTCTTTCTAGCAAGTAAAAGGACACTTAACAGTAGTTAGAAAATGGTCAGGGCCAAGTACACACAATGGTTAACATAAAAATTCAAATACTCACTTTGTTATTCTGTGTCACAAGAATACTTCCACCTCCAGGTTTCAAAGGTACCTCTTCCATTGCTCCAAATACATCTGTTTCAACAGAAAAAGTTAGCTCCAGACCCAGATCACTAATATCATTATCTAAAATCCATTGCAAATTTTTGGCATACTCTGGATCAATGGATGCCACATCTTGGTAATTTACAGGAATACCTAAAAAATGCAAACACACAGTAGTTAATACTAAGTTTTTTGTTTTTTTCTTCCCCCATCCCTCGGCCTTCCTTTATCTGTTTAATGGTAAAACATTGCCCTCTACAGATAGTTTGTAAAACTGCAAAATATAATACAATTCACAGCAAGTCAAATGGATGACAACTTCTGCGTTAGGAAACTTGTTAAATTAAGCTTATGTTTCCTCCACAATTTTAAATATAATCTACCTAAGAAAATGCTGTTTATAAAATTATTATGACCCTCAAAGAGCCAATTTTCTTAAGTATACACATATTAAGATGTGTTCTTGGTATAACATACACTTAATATGGAGGAGGGTGGAATTTGGAGCAAAAATATTAGAAAAGTAGGTCATTTTCCTCTTCCTTAGGTCCCTAATGCTTTGTCCAAATGGATGTTCTCCAATCAAAATAAAAAGTATCTTATCCAAATGTCATCACGTATCTATTTATTTCTCCTAAAAACTTTAAAATGCTTTAAATAACAGTTGATAGGAACAATAGTAGAAACACACCAAGAATATGCTTGTAGAATGATCTTGTGAAGTAAATATTGACCAGCTGCCTATGGTTCAAAGCTAATCCCAAAATCTGTCCAGCGAAACGGAAATAGTTCAAGTGATCAGGATTTACATAGGAGTTGCTATTAGGCTGAAAAGTTGTTCCTATTAAAATAAATACAAAATAATTTATTCTTAAAATTCTAAACGCAGAAGAAAAGGATAATTTCAATGTAGACAAAATAATTAACATACAACTTCAGCAAATACAAGGTTACAGTATGTATAAACTTTCACAGGACTGCTCTTTCTGGAATGTATGAACAGGTAACAAAAGTGGAAGTACAGAAGATAATCATTATTTTATCACATGTATTTATCAGAGTAAGTTTCTTTGCAGAGAAAAAATTTTAGAGTACTTTCACCTGAAAGTAGTTGGAAGATAGGTCAGAGAGACTCTGGAAATAACATATAAACACACATACATCATTTTCCCAGGCAGTGTGGCAGTAACTTAGGCTGTCAAAGTAGGGCAGACATTGCTCACTCATCTTTACACACCCAGTACAGTAGATATTCATTTGTTTTTGATTCTTAAGAAATACGGTACTGTAAGAAATACACTTAAAATTTTAAATGTGCAACTGCTCTTAAGTGATCAACAGACTGAGTCAATGAACTTAATGCCTTTTAATTATCAGAAAATCACCTAAGTGTGAAAGTCAATTAATTCCTTCTCATAGCAAAAAAGCAAATTCAAACAGCTACCACCAAGCTAAAAGTAAAAATGTCAAGGGCAATAGATACCACTACTATCAAAATCCAGTGCAGTGGAAAAAGCTATGTTAAGACCTCAACTTTAAATAACTCTACCTCCTATTATTCTGTGATGATCACTAACCGATATTACAATTTTATTCAATCATTCAACAAATATTTATTCAATTCATGCTATGTACTATATTTGAGGCACCTAGGCTAAGAGGAAAACCAATTGATAAATCTCTGTACTTAAACAGTATCAGAGAAAAATAAAACATGAGAAAGTATTGGGGTGTTCTGGTAAAATGGCAGAATAGTCAGAAAGACTGTACAGACCCTCCTCAACAAAGAAAAGGTGAACCAATTAACACTAATACAGAAGATAATCCTGGACCTCTAAGCCTTGAAGGGAAGGATACAGAAATGGACTAAACTCCAACTAGCAGAAGAATTTGCATTAAAATACAAAAAAAGGAGATATATGGAGCTGCAGTCTGGCAGCGACCCTGACAGCACAGACAGCTTGGATATTGCCGAATGGTGGTAGGACTTAAGAATTAACCTAAAAATCCACCCTGCTAGCCAGGGACTGCACGGAAGACTGCTGTGGTGGCTGGTGAATAAAAGGGGAAGAAGCAAAGAGGACTGTAGACTTTTGCCTATCCAGAGGGTGCAGCCATTTTGAATGTTTATAAGCGGTTTGACCATATTGGATATTTTAAGCGACAACATTCTCCCAGATTCCAGGGACTTAAGAACAGGCTCCACTTGCCGGGAACAACAAGGACATTCTGGACGCGGACGACTGGAAAAGTGCTATATTCCCCTTGTTACTCTTACACCCCACACCCTCTTGGTGAACAGAGGTGCAGCCATTCCTCGCTCTCACCCATCTTCTGGGCCGGCAAGAATTCCATCCCAGTCTATGTGCTATAGAGCCTGGGTATCTTCAAAGGATTGAGAGAGAGACCAAGGAAAACACAGACAAAACCCTGTAAGAATTCTAGAAGAAAATAGAAGAACAAAATGACAAAATAAATGAAAAATTAGAAATGATTCTATATCAACAGATAGAAATAAAGAAGATTAACACCAAAATGTCAGAAATAGATTAACACATTAAAAGGGCAAAGGAGTAGAATTGATGCAATGGAAGACAGAATTAATAAGACTGAAGACAAATACCTGAATACTCTTTGAAAAGGAATCAATCAGAAAAAAGATCAAAACAAAATGAAGATAGCCTAAGGCTCATGTGGGATACTATCAAAAGGAATAAGTTACGTGTCACTGAAATTCCAGAACAGGAAGAGAAAAATAAAACCACTGAGAAAACTGTCCAAGATTTGTTGGAGGAGAAATTCCCTGATACGATGAAAGATGAGAATATATCCATTCAGGAAGTCCAACGAACCACAAACAGGATAGACCCCAAAAGAAAATCACCAAGACATATCATCATTAAACTCATCAAAACCAAAGACACAGAAAGAATTCTGAAAGCAGCATGGGAAAAACAAAAAGTTACTTACAAAGGACAACCAGTAAGAATAAGCTCTGATTTCTCAGCAGAAACCATGCAAGTGAGAAGGCAATGGGATGGTATATATAAAACCCTGAAAGAAAAAAAATTTCACCCAAGAATTGTATACCTGTCAAAATTGTCCCTCAAATATGATGATGAAATTAGGAGATTTCCAGATAAGCAGAAACTAAGGGAATTTGTTAAAACTAGACCAACCTTAGAAGAGATACTAAAGGGAGTCCTTTAAACAGCGAACCAAAAATAGCAAACAATACCAACCATTAATACACAAGATGACATAACCCAGAAATCACAGCTATGGACATATCCAAAGTAAAATAAGCATACAAGATTGTAAACAGGGAACCAGAGACAGCAAGTGGCAAGTGAGGACAACTACAAACCAAAAAGAGGGAAAATACTATGTAGTTACAAAACTTCTAAATGGTGAGGAAGTCAAGAGAGTTGCAAGATAGAATGAACTATTCTAAACTCAGGGAGAAAATTATAAATCACAGGATAACCTCAAAGAAAAATGATAAACCTTCACATCACAATAAAAAAGAAGACAAGAACAAATATTCAGCAAATATTAAAACAACAGCCACCAAGGAAATGATAACACAATTCATAAATATAATGAGCTCAGCACAGAAAATAATATGGAAGAAAGAAACCAGGGACATCATGAAAAACATATAACAAAATGACAGCAACCAATTCATACTTGTCAATAATTACAATGAACGTTAATGGATTAAATGCACCACTCAAGAGACAGAGAGTTGCAGATTGGATAAAAAAACAAAACCCATCAATATGCCGTCTATATGAGACACACTTTAGAGAAAAAAAGATAAAAAGAGACTAAAAAATCAAAGGTTGGAAAAAGATAGATCAAGCAAATGGCAACCATAAAAGAGCAGGAATGGAAATACTAATTTCTGATCAAATTGACTTTAAGACAAAAAACACCATACAAGGCAAGGAATGACATTATATAATGATTAGAGGATCAATTGAACAAGAAGATATAACCATAATAAGTATCTATGGACCCAATGAAAGAGCCCCAAAATACATAAATCAGACTTTAAAAGAGTTGAAAAGCCAATAGATGACTCCACAGTCATAGTGGGAGACTTTAATACACCACTTTCAATGAAAGGTAGAACAACTGGAAAGAAACTCAACAAAGATGCAGAAGAGCTAAACAATACATACAATCCACCAACTTGGCCTTACAGACATCTACAGAGCACTTCACTGAACAACAGCACAATATACATTCTTTTCCAGTGCACTGGGAACATTTTCCATGATAGACCATATGTTAGGCCATAAAGCAAGCCTTAATAAATTTAAAAACATTGAAATACTGCAAAGCTTCTTCTCAGAACATAATGCTATCAAATTAGAAATCAATAATAGGAAGATCAACAGAAAAAGACTAAATACATGGAAACTGAACAACAGTCTCCTTGAGAAAGACTGGGTAAGAGAAGAAATAAAAATTGAAATTCAAAAATTCCTTGAATCGAAGAACTAGATGGTGCCCGGCTACCACTGTCATCTAC